CTGTGTTACACTTTTGGAGTGAACACAGCAAAGGATCTTGTTGCAACTAAGATTAGATACACAAACAATTATCCAAAAGTAAATCTGTTAGTTTTGAAGATAACACAAAGCTGTTGTTTTTATTAGGAAAAAAAATAACGAGGAAATACTACTTACTGGGCAAGCATTTCAGAAAATGAAGCTGTAGTACTACAAATGGTACAATTTATTACATTGTGATTGCTGAAACATGTTATACAGGATGCTGCATTTTCCATCCATGCTGTTGTTTTTATTGTCATCATAAGACTGACATCTCTAAGCTGAAATAGGGAATCCATGTCTTTTCCCCTTTTCTTTTTTGCAGCTTAAAAAATGTGTTTTTCTTTTCTACCTGAAAAGGACAGAAGCAGCCTTCTTCATGCCCTATCAGTCATAGTTTTCCCAGGTTATAAAAATAATAATAAATGTGTAGAATCATACCAGCCCCCTTATTTTGTAAGTTGGGCATCTATTTTAAAGGAAAATGTTTGGTAATATATGTTTGTAATTCTTCAAGTACCAATGTTCTTTTCAAGAGAAATTATACTGATTAAATCACAAGTGGTGGATCCTCTAATTTAAACATGTGTTTTGGAAATAATAATTATTCTAGCAATGTTTAAAACTCTATATTTGAAAGATATTTAACCTTCAGACAAACCGTTCCAATTCTCAGCACTCAAACAAAGATAATCAACACATTTGCATATAAAACAGGGTGAATGGGAGTACTTCCAGACAAATGTTTTTGCAATCATTTCAGGATTGGCTCCAGTCCTAATTGTTCACATGACATTATCTGTTTTGAAGCTCAGTTGATTTATTCCTGATTATACACTGGCTTATTGGAAATTACAGCAACAATGGCTTTTGAATTCATTTTGGAGAGCTTGTCCTACAATTCTGCATAACATGTGGGTGGTCCACTTTCCACTGCAGGAAATTCTCACCTCATCCTGCTTTGGGAGCTCAAATCAGCCAGTGCACATCAATTCCCCCCCCACAGAGCTTCAATATCTTGTTCCTGAAGTCTGTTTATATATACATAGTTTAGAACTTATCTTCTTTCACCCCACTCCCCTAATTCAATTAACACAGTAATATCCAATCATGATAATACCCATTTGCAAAATTGCAACTATCATGTCACTTTCACAAATTTCAGAGGATTTTAAAGCAGCAGTCAACTAGAACCAGACAAACAAGAACACCTTAGTAACTTTCAGTAAATGTATTGTTTTTAATAGTCTACCTTTTCCTGCATAGGCTCTGTTTGCTGAAACCTCTCAAATGATTTTGCAAAATACAAACAAATCCAGGAAAGTAAGGCAAAAATCTAAGTTTGATTCCTGGCATCTTCATGGACACAGTCATGTTGCTTTCTCAACAGCAACACAGACGGATCTGGCACTGCCTTTTTCCAAGTTTTATCAATTTTCCAAGATTGTCTATCACTCTGGTATTTTCTGGTGATCTCCCACAAAAATATAATCCAGTGTGATTCCTCTTAGTTTTCTTTTAATATAGACATTTTTTAACATTGGGTGACACTACTAGCAATTCATTTTATTTGCTTTCACTATTTTTACTCCAAGATCTAGAACATATCAGGAAACAGTGCACAGACTGGAACCTTGGGAATGGTTGAACATCCTAAAACTTCTAGTACAACCTTCTTTTGGCCCATAACTCTATAACCTCGTAAGAAAGAGATATTACTCTTGTACAGGTCACTATGAGTACAAGTATTTGAATGCACAGATACAAATCATGAGGGTCAAATGCATTTTAAATAATAGCAATTGCCAAAAGCAATAGCACTTAGCTTCACCGTATTTACAGCCCTCTCTAAATTACTTACAGAGTCAGCCTATTGCCCCCAACAATCGGTGTCCTCATTTTACCAACCTCGGAAGGATGAAAGGCATTTAGAACGGCACTTATATGCCCATCCACCATTAAAACAATAAATTAAAAATTGTTCATCCATGCTCACTAAATCTTGGGCTTTAGTTTCTCTTTTATAATCTTATCTAAACTCTCACAATACTGTATATTGACAATGCCCAATTCCGACAAAATTGCAAAATTTACCGAGAACATCAAAATCTTAGGATCTCAAGTAAGAACTCAATGAGATCATTAAAATCTCAGAATATTTGACAATCTTATTAAATACTAGATGACTCTGTGTGGTTTACATACAGAAATTGCTAGTAAGACCATGCTGGTCAGAGTTTAGTTGGCAAAATCCTATACATGCCACTTTTAGTTACAGATACTAGAAACAAAATAGAGATGTTTGGGGAAAAAACGAAATCTTAATTCATAGGGAAGCCGTCTTTATCTCCTCCAAAGCAACTGCTTTTCTCCATAACAAATTATTTTAGGGGCTCTGTGCACTATCTGGAATATACAGAATTCAAAGCAACTGTTTTATACAGCACATGGCTCCCTGGTTATATACAGCACATTAATTAGCTGACTTAATACTTCATAAAACTTTTTTAGACTTCCAGAAAAGCTAAAATATATGCCTGGAATGCTCATTATGACCTTGATAGCAATGTGCTTCTTGTTCTCCCACTCCTTTATCTGCTTTCTCTCTCTCATGCCCGCACAATTATTTATCTTCTATCCATCTTGCACAGTTTCTTTGGGAAGAAGGGAAAAAAAGCAGAGGCCACCCTATAAGGTAGTCCTGCTTATGCTTCCCAGCCTTTCTTTCTTGCACTTCAAGTCAGGAGTGCCACTGACTCCACCTTCGTGCATGAAGTGGTAGTTGTGGGTTCCCAGTATTTCATTCTCCTTTTCTTATATAGTGCATGTGCACAAAGTAGCAACTGGATGAGCTGCTTCCTCTATCATTACTATCTTTTGGCACCCTCCATGTCATGAAACCTTTGTGGAATGCACAACTTGCACACCTGCTTGTGGTGGCTCTGCTTTCAATTTTGTAGAAATGAGAGATTTAAAAAGCAGCATAAACCCACAACTCTGCAGGGAGGTGTCCTCTGTAGTTTTGGATACCATACTCTTATTACATGGTAATTTCATTAAGAAATCGAGAGAGAATGTAAAAATGACATGTTCCAATGAAAATTTCCTTATAATCATTCCCATATTGAAAAATTAGTATCTGGCAAAGAAAAAAAAAAACCTGGAGAGAGTTTTGGAATAGACAATGTTTACTGGAAAAAAGATCAGAAGCAATCTCCAAATCATATTGTTACAATGCAAAAGCAATCAGAGTGCTTGAAACTTCAGAGACAGAAATGGGCTCAGGTTTCCCCCAGCCTTCCTCCCTTTTCTAAGAGGTCAACAAAGAAACTTGATTGCATATGAAAGCCAGTGTATCTATCAGATAAAACAACTATCAGAGCAAAACCACTACATTTTATTTCATTTCTGGGCATTACAGGACACCCCAATCTGTTGCAACTCTAGCATATAGAAAGGCAGCATATAGAATACAAATTAAAGACAAAGGTTTTTTTTAAAAAAAGAATTACATCATTAAAATGAGAACATCCATAAAAAGATTCCTACTGTTCATAGTACCGCATCACACAAGGTGTTCACTGCTCACTCTAACCCAGGCTTAACAACAGAGCCTGATCTTAAACGATAGTTTAAATAGGGTTGGAGGAAATGGTTATACCTTTGGCCTGAACTGTATACAGGTAGTCCTTGACTTACAACCATAATTGAGCCCCAAATTTCTGTTGTTAAGTGAGACAGTTTTGAAATGAATTTTGCCCCATTTTAAAACCTTTCTTGCCTCAGTCACTAGGTGAACCACGGCAGTCGATAAGTTAGCAACCCGGTTGTTAAGTGAATCTGCCTTCCCCATTGATTTTGCTCGTCAGAAGGTTGCAAAAGGAGATCAGATGACCCCTGGACACTGGAATTGTCATAAATATGAGTCAGTTGGCAACAGTCGGAATTTGGATCATTTGACCAAGGGGTTGCTGGAATGGTCCTAACTATGAAAAATGGTCCTAAGTCGCTTTTTTCAATGCCATTGTAACTTTGAATGGTTATTAAATGAACTGTTGTAAGTTGAGGATTATCTGTATCTGGGACATGTAGCTCTTTATCAACAACAGCTCCACACTTTAAATTACCTTTACATTTGAGCAACTTGAGTGCACTAGTTAGGACTATAATTTCTGAGAATGGTTTAGAGTGGTTAACTGTGTATGCTACATGGATGCAATCACAGTAACAGTTTTATAACAAAGAGATAGAATAGCTCATACCCAGCCTTAATAGTTCTTCCCAGTGGAGGAGTGAACAGAATAACAGAGTTGGAAGGTACTTTGGAAGTTTTCTAGTCCAACATCCAGCTCAAGCAGGAGACCCTACACCAGTGGTGGCTAACCTTTTCTGCATTGAGTGCCGAAATGGGAGCGTGCGCACATGCACCGGAAACCGGAAGAGCAGCTCCCCAACGTGCATGCGGAGTGCCAGAAACTGGAAGCTTAGCTTCCAGCATATGTGTGCGTGCCAGCCACATGGTTTTCCAGTTTCTAACGCACATGCGTGCACAAAGACCAGTTGGCCGGCACACGCATGTCCTCCGGGGAGCTGCTCTTCTGGTTTCCGGTGCTCCTGCGCATGCAAAGACCAGCTGGCCGCCGTGCATGGGCACACCAGAACCCAGAAGAGCAATGGGCAATGGCTGGTGTGCCCAGAGAGATGGCTCTGCGTGCCACTTCGCCATCACGGCATCACTGCAGACAAACAGCTGTCCAATCGCTTCTTTAAAAACTCCAGTGGTAGAGAACCCATAATTTCTGAAGGCAAGCCATTCCACTGATTAATTGTTCTCACAGTCAGAGGAAATCCTCACTTGTCTTCAGGAGGATTCAAATAACACTCATAGCTGGAGACATAGCCCACTAAACTCAACAGGACTAGTTTTAGTACATGTGCACAGATTTGTAAAAAGTTCCAGCAATTAATGTCAGACTTACATGGAGATGGATCCACGAAAATTGGATCTATGTTATGAAGCAGCTCCTTCCTGGGTGATGGTTTTCCTTCGCTGAAACAAAATTTATTATAAAAGGATTCAATCTCCTCTCACAGTTCAATAGAATCCCATTCCTCCCACTTCAATGTTTCCTTTTGAACAAATAAAGAAATTCTTGTCAACCAATTTATTTCTTTGTTTTAGGGAGTATGTCTGGTTTTTCTTATATGAAATGAAAATCAAAGAGATTTGCATCAATCTCTTGTAATACGGTAAGCCAATTCGAGAAATTAAAAAAGCAATTCCGCTTCATATCTCAAATTAAGTCATAGTGAGAGATTTAAACATAGTTTGTTCAATAACATAACATAACATAACCACTGCACCACCAGAGCCATGGTAACACAGTGGTTAGAATGCAATATTGCAGGCTAATTCTGCTGACTGCCAGCAGTTTGATCCTGAACGGCTCAAGATTGACTCACCCTTCCATCCTTCCAGATCAATAAAATGAGGACCCAGATTGTTGGGGGCAATATGCTGGCTCTGTAAACTGCTTAGAGAGTGCTATAAAGCACTATGGAGCGGTATATAAGCTATTGCTATCTAGAAATAAGAAAAGTCATAGGAACCTGATTGTTTGATTAATTGATAAGTAGACTTTCTTCAAGGAGCTCAAGGTGGTAAGCATTGCATTCTCTCCTTTTATTCTTTCTCAGAACAGCCCTGTAGAGTAACATAGGCTGAGATAAAATGACTTGCCGAAAATATATATTTTGGCTTTCTTCAATGCTAATCCCACAGATTAACCATTACGGCAGACTAGGCCAATCCACTGTTTCTTTTCATTGCACTTCCAGCTGCAATATTGCCCTTCAGCAATCCAGGTCACTTTCTAAGAACATCATTGGTGACTTGGGCCTGTGGTTCAGACTCTAGGCAAGGCGATATGACACATGGGCAACCAAGCTATCCATTAGAATAGAACAGAAGTAGTACAGCACATATACTACTACATATGCTACTAGTATAGCACATTCATTATGTTCACTATGTCCTAGAAACATGGAGCGGTATATAAGTCTATGTGCTACTGCTATTGTTACATTAGCATTTTGTGTTAAACCCTATTCATGATTTATAAACCACAATGGCTAGCTTCGCACAGCATGATAATCTAAAATTGGAAACTATTAATGCAATACATTTTGGACAGTTACAAGATGAAATTAAAACACACCATAAAACAAACCAATAAACATAACCTAGCTCAGGGGTGGGCAAACTACGGCCCGCGGGCCACATCCGGCCCGTTGGTCTTTTTAATCCGGCCCGCCGAAGATTGGTACAGAATTAAGGTTTGATGTGAATGATTGAATGATTGCATTCATTTGATTTTGACTTGTAATGACAGGCATTTCGACACCAGGTAGCGCATTAGGCGCAGTGACTTGATTTTGCGGAGATTTTGCAGTTTTTTATATGTATCGTATCTTGTGCTGACCCGGCCCGTCTGTCAAATTTTAAAAGTAAATGAGGCCCCTGAGCCAAAAAGTTTGCCCACCCCTGACCTAGCTTCATATTTAAAAGCTATTTTCTAAATAGTTCAAGGGAGAATCTTAGAAGACCTTTTTCTGGGGGAAAGTTCCAAAGTTCCTGTGCCACTTACTGAAAAAATGTCTTATCCATATTTTGCCTTACTGACTAAACTTCTCTTTCTGAATCTCAATCCACCAAGGGCTAATCATACAAAAGATGTTCCAGCAGGTACCTAATGAATTATCCTTCTCAGTCCCTTTTCCAAACACTGCTGGAAATAGTGCATCACAAGACTGTGGCTCAGCATATGTGAGATTTAGTTTTACAGTACTCAGTTTATACAACATTGGTTGCTATGGTGTAATTTTATTTAGACAGCCTTGTCAGATCAGAATCTTTGTTGGTCTACTGCACTTAGAAAAGTTCAGGGACATCAGCTGCCAGAGAATGCCCAATCATTCATAAAATATCATCCTTGTTTCAGATACAGCGTACCTAAAACATCCCCAGGGATGGTTGTCTGGCTAAAGAGAATAACAAAAACTTTACCCTGGGGCAAGCAAAATAGTTTAAATAGTTCTAATAGAAAACTGTTGTAAGTAACTGATGCATGACAGAATCAAGCAGGAAGCGTGTGGTCAATTTCATGTACTTGGCCTTAATGCAAAACTGTAAGGGAACAGATTTCTTTTCCCATGGAGGGGTGTCTCCCAATAATCCCATATCCAAAATACATGTATAATATGTTTAAAAACTAACTATTAAAACTCAGCCATTGTATTTCAACAAGTTTTTGTTGAAACAATGTTAGAACTGCAATTAATTTTGTGCTGCTGATAGCTTATTAAGCAATTATCATGTCTCCATTTACTTCACAATTCTGAAAATCAGTTACTTTTCTACTATGACAGAAATAATCAGGTTACATTTTTAAAACTATAAGCTCTCAGGGGAAATCTGTTTGTCCTGTAAAGTGCTGTAAATGTGGAAGTGAATACTTTTTCATCCTCCTCCTCATCTTCATTATCATCATGCCATTTTAAAGATACTTTATTTTCCCCATATTTGCTGTTTAAAAGTCCTGGTGAACAGTTTTCCATCATGTCCCATCCAATTTTGTTCAACATCTCTTTTTTGCTTTAACAACATAGTAACATTTTCAGAGTTGAATAGACTTTTTAATAAGTTTACCTAAAAAAAACACCTTTCATATTATAATAACATATATTTTAGAAGTATACTTTGCTTCTTGGGCTTCATCAAATTCTGCTTCAAGCATATTACCTGAGTGTTTTCCAGACATCAAAGCCATCTAAAGGCTTCGTGCCATTGGTATGTCCTCCAGCAAGCTTCACCAAAGTTGGCAGCCAATCAGAAATATGGATCAAGTCATGGCTTTCGACTCCTTTCCGGTTCAATAAAGGACTGGCAACAAATCCAATTCCTCTCACTCCTCCTTCCCATAATGTCCACTTTCTTCCTCTTAAGGGCCAGTTGTTTCCACCTCCCAGAGTTTGACCTCCATTATCTGAAATAATTTAACAACTTATGTGACTGAGCCTTAAAACATTTTCTCATATACTGTACTTTTATGTTATATTTTATGTGTGAAACAGAAAGTTGGACTTGACAGCCAACTTGCTCCATTTCATTCTATGATTCAGTATAAATGTTATTACAATATTAGACCGACATTTTCAATAGGAAAATAGAAGGCTGCATTTTAATAAGGAAGGCCTACAGTTCAACACATTGGGCCAGATATTGGTCTATTACAAATGGGTATTACTTTTGGCTTTGTCTGATAGTCTGAACCCAGAAGCTATGGTTTGTACATCACAGTTTATAGCTTAATTTTATAACAATATAATCAATAAACCATAGTTAAATAATGGTTTACAGAGTATGAATCAAACAGATTACACAGAATAGTAAAGAAAGGATCAGTCCTCAGAATCTCCAGTGTAAGAAAAAAGCAAAAATTCCTGCCTTCAATTTCATAAGCAGTTATCCAAATAAACAGTTCTAACTCAGAATAATAGAATAACAGAATAACTCTTGGGATTATAAAATAGGGAACATGACTAAAACCTTGGATAGGTGCTCTAGCTCTGTATAAACAATATAATGTAAACTGAAAGGATTAATCGCCTGACTGGAGAAGAGCTGTGTCCCTTGTATACAACTACGGGTACCAATGTGTTGAAGGATCCCTCTCCACCATGCCCATCATCTTTATGTTTCATTTCTATTCCATGTTTACCTTCTTTAAATTTAAAACAAAAATTAAACACAAAATTGTGTGTATTTCAGTCTAGACTCAAAACCACTTAAAATTAGTTGTTCTGTTCTGGAAGTTAGATTGGCCCCATTCCTGTTAGCCTGTTATAAGGCCTTAAAAGGCATTATTGTGTCATCAAGCCCATAGAACTGGATGTGTGGCAGAACCTGGGCAGTATTTATGTTGATGTGTTAGTTGTTTTTTAACCTCTGCTGTTAATTACACGTGTAATGTTTTATTGCTATATTTTAAGGATGTTTTTTTTAATTGTTAGCTACCAAGAGCCACAAAATTGAAATATGCAGAAATATAGATTGAAATAATAAATTCATAATATTCAGTCAACATATCCAAGCCAGCTCCATTAAGTTTTATATTGTTCCCTTTTCACTTAGCTTTAGAAATGCACAATGCATCCATTGTTTCCTTCGTTTTATACATTAACTAATGCTTTTACCATTTATTCTTCTTATTTTCCAAGTCCCAATACTCTCCATATGTTGTGGTTGCCAACAGATGAGCTTGCAAAGCTTTGGTCAATTCAGGCTTTCACAAAAAGGTTTTTAGTAAATTAAACGGGAGAAAAGTCTAAAATATTAGCTTTAGTAGTACTCATGTCATATGTAGGAGTGGGATCCTACCGGCATAACAACTGGTTTGGGGAGCGCGCACTTTGTGCACTACTTACAAATTACCGGCTCCGGCAAGCATTCACCTTCTCCAGCTGACAAGCGGCACTCAACTGTGCCGCGCAAAGCAGCTGAGGAGGAAAAAGCATGCACTAAAGGACAGCCTAGAGCAGTGATGGCGAACCTTTTCAGCACCAAGTGTCCCAAACTGGAACGTGGATGCATGTGCGCGTGCTGGAGTACTAGAAAACCGAAGTGTGAGCAACCCTGTTTGGGGAGCATTTTGGTAGATATTTTTTGGCTTCGAAAATGGCCTGAAAACAGCCTGTTTTTTGCGCATTTTGGGGTGTTTTTCAGGGCATTTTCAGGCTGTTTTTGGTGTGACAAATGGCCTGAAAATGGCCCCCAAACAGCCTGAAAACAGTCCAGAAAACGTTCCGGAAAACACCCTGATTTTGGGACATTCTTTGGGCCCTTTTCCAGTACTCCGATGCCCGCGAAGACCAGTGAGCCAGCGCATCACAAAACCAGAAGAGCAGCTGGCGATGGTGTGCATGTCTACTGAAAGGGCTCTCCATGCCACCTCTGGCACACGTGCCATAGGTTCACCATCATGAGCCTAGAGCCTGGACAGGTGGGTGGACCAAACAAAAGACCAGAAGATCATTGCAGCAAACCGGTTCAGTGTCAGATGCTCTTCAGAGCTACCGGTTCTATAGAACCAGACCGAACCAGTAGAATCCCACCCATGGTCATATGCCCACATTCTCTGCTGATGTCAGGAATCATTTTACTTTTGCCATTTTATCAAAATAGACACCCGAATATTTACACAAATATTTACGTAAGCTACTGTCTTAAGTCTAAAGATTACCTTGCAAACCAACCTCCTATTATTCTGAACTCATCAATTGGAGATGCATGCACAAATCAAACATCATATTTACTTATCAATATATACAAGTATTATGATGAAGGATAAATATCTAATAATCTGGTCCAAGTCAGTCACCTTGAAAACTGTAACCAACTGGCTATCACTGCCTTTTGCTTGATTTTGTGTATAGCACTAAGCCACAATTTGCTTAATTTGGTGAATAAACCACATTAGACTGGGTTTACAAAATATATTAAGCAATCACCCTGGTCTGCAAGCCATAACGGTAGGATTTTCAAATCATATTATAAACCAGATTATGGACCAGTTCAATGTAACAGCAATTCAAACCTGTAAGTATGCATTTGTTGATCTTTCCCCCAAGGCTTACTCTATTTACAGTGCCATGTTGAATGTTTGATAGTTAAACTATGGGGTGAAAATACCTATAGATTTGGGTCCATTTGGCAATTTCAGAGTTTCTGTTTCCAAGGAATCTTTTATTTTAATATGCAGTAACAGAAATAATGAAAATCATTCTTTCTTTGGCTATTGCAGGAATAAGAACTGCTGATGCATTAGCTCTGTCAGCTGAGTATAATTCAGTACAAATTATGTGCACACAATGTACTGAGGAACACTGGATAAATAATAATCACACTGACTTGGAGAGCCAACTTTCACATTTAGGATGACTGCTATTGCAAGTGTATTGTACTTTATGAAATTATTGAGAAACGTCTTGTAAATCTTTCAAGCAGAAAGTCTCTAAAATATTCCTAAATATTATCCTACAGTGGAAAAGCTGACGTTTAACATGAGACAAAAATTGTACTCATGTCTTAATCTTAAATACATCAGCTGATACAAATGACTTGTGAAAAAAACAGCAACTTTCATATTCAGTATATGTGATTAGCTTTGTGTAACAGAAAAAAAAGCTTCTGTGGGAAACTTGATTTTCTCATGCCATGTTCTTCTGCATAGTGCATGAATGAGGCAAATTTATTTATTTGATTAATTTATATAGCTGCTCTACATATACAGCTCTTCTGACCACAGAAGTACATGCCAACCAAATTTTTGGAAGGAAAATCGACTGATTTCAATGGAATTTACTATCACATGTTTATTTAGGAACAGAGCCAAAGTCTTGTATTTGTTGCCATATCTACTGAATGAATACTCAAATGCTGCAATATTGTGTCTGGTGTGTGTGTATATTTATGTGTATAGACACGAAGGAAGTTTATCTTGAATACACTGTTTGGGCATTCCCCAAAGCCTTTCGAAACATTATGTTCTTTTAGAACAGGAGTTACTCATCTGATTTTTTTAACTTAAGGAACTAATTGAGATGTATATTTATAACATCTTCAAAAGGGCCAAGGAGGAAATGAGGCCACTCTGATATACTTTTGCCGATGTTAGGTAGGAACTTCAAACAAACAAAGAAACCTCGCTATCTTACACTCATAGCAACCTGGCGGGTGGAAAAACTAGTCACAATTAAAAAGCCAGCTGGACAGATACAATTTTTGTCAAGGCTGAGGAAAATTCAGAACTTCTTTTGCTGTAACAGTTCTGACAACTATGCCTTTCCTATTTGTGGATCAATGTCAGTATTGCTGCTTTCATTTTACACATGAGAAAGCAGGCACATCTGGGTGATAGGTGGACTAAAAAGGCAAACTGTTGGACACAACTGCATATCTGAAACCCTGCCTCATTTTACGTGCATCATATGCATAACACAGGTTAAAAAAAAAGTCCATTCATAGCCACCAGATTGATTTCCTCAGAGAAGAGCTACGATTTTGCATTAAGATGTGCAGCAGAGGGCTCACTTCCAATTGCAGCCAAACCTTCAGGGAATGAGCCTGATTCCGAGCAAGTCAGCACTACAGGACAGCAGTTCCTTTAAAATAAATAAATAGACAAATATAAGCTGAACCCCACTCTCTATTCCTTCCATCCAAATATACTTTGATCTGATAAGGCTTGACAAGGTGGGGGAGTGACGGAGGGGAGAAGAGCGATGGAGAAAGGACCATCTCTATGGTTGTACTCAGGGCTTGGCTACCGCCCTTCTCCCCAATCTACTTGAGGTGGCAGGCTGGGGCTGCACATTGTCGCCTGACACAAAATAAACAAAGCAATCTGGAGCTAATTCGAGCAGGATCAGGATACGGCTGGAAAGGCTTTACAGGGGGGAGAATGGGGAGTGAAAGGGGGGAGGACGCGCAGGGGGCAAACAATGGCTCTGTGAAGCTGAACAGCAGTTTGGACAGGAAGGCTCTGCAGACAGGCTGGCAGACAGCTGTCAGCCATTCCAACAACATTTCCTGCAGCCAATGAAAACTGGCCAGGATCTAACCTCCCAAGCCAGTTCAGGAACACCAACAAAGGATTAAACATTTCAGCATTAGCGGCCTGAGTGTCATGGACATAATTCAGTGTCAGGGATATTCTGACTGCACGTGGCTTCTTTTTCCCCTTCCCCTCCCCCATTCACAAATAAAGAGCAGCTGCAATTAAAGTAGCGTATCTGTAAAACACAGGCCCAAAGCCAATACACTGGCTTTATTTACTGTGAGTTGCAACTGAGTTCAGGCAGTCAGACATACAGTATGTACATCTGTTTTGCAAATCAGTCCTCTCCCCAGAGTGACATGTACTTTTAACCACTAAAGACACCAGTAATGGACACCAGACCATTTTTTTTAAAAAAAAAACTTTGC